CTCCCCTCGGTCTGTTAAAGCCTTTGCCAATTCCAACCGGTCCAGTAGACTCTGTGTCCATTGACTTTATGGGTACTAAGGTAAAAAGCAGGAATGGAAAGACGCAAGTTATGGTCATCGTTGATAGGTTTAGTAAGTATGTTGTTTTCGTAGTATTACCAGCGGAAGCAAAGACAAAATTGGTAATCCGAAAATTCTTTAACCATTGGGTGAAGGATTATGGCATCCCTTAACGATTGTAAGTGACAGAGATTCACATTTCACGAGTGAACAATGACAGCAACTGATGAACATCTATGACTCTAAGTTGACTATGTCATCAAGCAGGCACCCTGGGATAAATGGTCAGACTGAGCAAATGAACAAGATTCTGCAGCAAACATTGCACATGTACATACGTCCCGACCCGATTGATTGGGATAAACATTTACCCAAAGTTGCCTGTGCTTATAACAACTCTGTTCACCTATCTACGTGCAAGACTCCAATGAAATTGCATTTGGGATGGCGTCCACGTAGACCTATTGATTGCCTAAACCCGGATCAAGCACATAAGCTTCTACTAGGAACGAGTGAATTTGCAGTACAATATCAGAAAAACATCGAGAAGGTGAAGAAAAATATAATGAAGGCACAACCTCAGATGATAGAACAGGCGAACAAGCACAAAAAACCTTCTCAGTTTGTTGTAGGAGATCAGGTATGAGTTAAATCTAAGGAATTCGTTCCTGAGGAGAACATATCCCAGAAACTGCTACCAACCTACAAAGGACCTTGGCAAGTTCTAGATGTGATTGGAGATGTGGATGAACCTTTTTATGTGATTGAGATTCCTCCGCATTTGCATACATATCCAGTTTTTCATGCTTCAAAGCTCTTACCTTACGTGACGAATGAGTTATTTCCCAGTCGCAGATCAGCGATACCTCCTAGTATGGATGAGAAATATGATGTGGATAAGATTGTTGCGGAAAGCACACTTCAAACAGGATGTAGAGGCAGACCCAGCGACAATATAAAGTAAGATTTGCATATCAGGACCCAAGTGAAGATCGTTGGTTCACAAGAGAAGAATTAATTGAGTCTGCGCCTCATATTGTATATGCTTATGAAAGAGCAAGAAGAGGAATAAACATAATGGACAGATGAGGGTCTTTCTCAGAGGACTTCGAACTAGGCCGACGATAGTAAAAGAGCCTTTACCCGATTCAGACCCCTGAATGACGAATGCAGCATAGTGGGGTCATTCGGCCAGAGCCCAACTCGTGACAAGCAGATGAAAAGGCATGTTATCTGTGTCAAAAGTCACATCCTAACTAAAGCAAAAACCATGTCAAAGGTCACGGTTGTACCCCTAGACAAACAGATGCAGTATTCAATTGTGGAAGGTACATCTGTTCATCGAAAGGGTGTGCAAGTCATGCCTGTTCAAGCAAGAGATGTGTCTGTTCGTGCAGTGCGTGTATCTGTTCAGGAAGTAGGTGTGTCTGCTCGGACTGAAGTTGTGTCTGTTCAGAGGGAAGTAAAAAATCAGGTCCCAGTCCAGTCAAAGTCTAACATGAGGTCTAGGTTCATACCCCAAGTCCGAAATCCAGGCCTGAAGGCCGCAGCAGCATCAGACCCTAAAGGAAAAGGTACAGGGACACACACTGCAGAGGTCTGGGACAGGAAAAGACCCAAGTGTGCCAATGCAGGCCTCGCGAAGGGAGACCAGTAGTATAAGAAACCAAGCCAGCCTCCCCACACGGCAGATCTCCAGTGGCATTGATGCATGGAAGTGTTGAAGGCACTTGTGCGCTAGCATGCTGGGGAAGCGCTGACAGAAGAAGCTGCGCAAGAGGAAAGAAGGGGCCTGGCGCTGGCTGGCAGAAGCAGCCATAGCTGCGCCAGCATGTTAGTAGATGTAGAAGGGTTAGAGGTAGTCTTCAGTGAGTAGCATTCAGAGTAGATTCTCGTGGTAGGAGTGTGCATGCATGGTGTGACGAGAGGACTAAGATAAGAGATCTTGAGAGAGAAGAGTGAGAGGAGAGGGAGAGGGACAGGTTCCTGAGTTGGCTATGGTGGACACTTACCTATTCTGCGCTGTACTGTCATCTGGAGGAGGCGCTGGCAGAGCCAGGCCTCTGCGGTGTTGATGAACGAGGGAGACTTGTGATATTATTCGGCGCTTTATTCTTGAACTCGAGATACTCTCTATAATGTTGTTGTGATAATATAAGCTGCGCTACCTTCTTTCTCATTCCATCTCGACTTTGCTTTGTGTGAAGCTTCATAACCTGTGTGAATGTTATCTTGGCATGCAATGTGATACACTCTGGCAAGTTGTGGACAGTCAGGTCCCTTGCAATTCGATGCATTTTCCAATTTTGCCACTCTGAAAGGTCCCCCCACTGTGTTATCGATAGCCCTCATGGACCTGTGCTACCGACACTCTACGACACTCAACGACACTCTACTCTACCATACTCTAATCTACTCTACAACACTCTACGACACTCTACTGTTCTCTATTGTATGACACTCTACTGCACTCTACGACACTGTATGACACTCTACTCAACGATATTGTACTCTACCCTACTCTACGACACTCAAAGACACTCTACTCTACTCTACTCTACTCTACTCTACATTACTCTATTATACTCTACTCTGCTCTACTCTACTCTACTCTACCCTACTCTATGACACTCTACGACAATCTACGACACTCTCGTCTACTCTATGGTACTTTCTTTACCCTTTCGGTAGTTTTGGTCGCGGGCGTAGCCCGCACCGCCCGCACCACGGGCGCTAAGCTATTCTTCAATTAAACTCAGACTCCGTAGCCAGTTTTAGGCTATTCTTTAATACCCTGTGATTCTTTTTTTTTTTTTTTAAAGACTGTCTCGGTTTATGTGAGTGGTCTGGGGGCACGGCCTGCACCGCCCGCACTGCAGGCGCTTAGCTAGTATATATATAGCTGTCCCCCGATGAGGAGAAGACAGCTTTCACAAAAAATAAAAATAAAAAAAATGCAAGAAATATGAGCATGAGCGATATACAGAAAACCAAGTTGCGAAATCACGCCAATGCCCAAGTAGTCATGTATGAGCAGAGAGTGCAAATGCACAGAGATTCCATCCAGATACAAGCAATACAATGGACTCACAAGCCGATGTCCAAGCCCTCAGGCCACACCAACACCGTATCCAATGTCGCTCCTACTCTGTCTGGCGCCCAGCGCCCAGCCTACACTACTCGCCTATCCCACAACACCAGCGTTCACGCAACAGGCTCACTTCGACCTTGAAGACCAATGAACATGACGTCAACACCCTAGCTGACCTTCCTAATGCATCAGGTATGTATCTTGTCTCTCCTGATCACCCCTGACTTCCCACAGTGTGCATTCTCAACACCCAAAGACCACCATGCCATCCAGACCTGCGCCCAGCAGCCCGGCTATGGCTGCCCTGCGCCCACTGCCCAGCAGTGCACCTCACACCTCAGTGCCCGTGCGCGCGACCCAGCCGGCAGCTTTGTGCAGATCACGAAGTTGCAACGCAGCAGCGTGGCCGCATTGCCTGCCTAGGCCAGAATGACCTGCCCAGCGATGCTCACTTTCCTATATGGAAAGTGAGCTCAGCCTCTGCTGCCTCTGGGCCTGGCTGGGCGAGCATCCAGTAGCTTCCAGTCGGGCCTCAGTGTCTGCGTCCAGACCCAGTTGGAGTTACGGGCCTGGGCCCTTTACAGTTGGGCACATCCAGGCAGTCCACGGGCCTCCACATGTTCGCTGTGATCTCATTGGCTCACGGCCACTTTGTGTGTGATCTCATTGGCTCACGGCCACTTTGTGCCAACAATGCTGCAATCTCATTGGGCCATGGCTGTTGTATGATGTGTCGGCCTCTGAAAGCACACGCCCAGGGCCTTAACTGTACGGGCCCCTGGGCTCAACTGCCAGTCAGAGGCTGCAACTTCCGGAAAGAGCCTGGAGAGGCTCACGTTGCTCTGTAACCGACTGGCATGCTGCAACTGTCTGATACCCACATATGGAAAAATGTCAAATCTTGGCCTCTTGTGAATATTCAGGCCTGCCTTCACTTAGGGCGGGCACAGGGCTTGCTGAGGGCCTCTGCCCAGAACATGTGCCTGTCTGTTAAGGGCCCCGCAAGGGCTCATTCCCTGCACATATACATCCCCTTTAGGGTGATCACACTGGCCTGTACTCAGGCCTTGGCACATATTGGCAGGCCCCCCTTCACTTAGGGCGGGCAAGGCCTTTCACAACACTGCCGAGGTGTCAAATCCTCGCAAAAAGGAAAGAAAAAAAAAGAAGAAGGAAAGAAATGGCCCTGGCGGAAGGATGACACGCGTCATTTGAAAATGGTCCAAATTATCGGAAAGTAACAGAAACGACAAATCGGAGAGAATCGGAATGCTAGTGGTGGGCTGTTAGTAGGCCCTGAGTAAACTCCTAGAACTGTGGTGTAGCATACAACCTCCTTTTCTTCTGTGTGAAATGGATCAATGGGCCTGGCACAGTGGGTACACCCACGAACTGTTGAAATACAGACCCAAGTTTTTAAAAGCAGATAAAATGGGGTGGCGAGGTCCGTAGGCCATCGCGCCACATTAAATATTAAATAATAATAATAATAATAATAATAATAATAATAATAATAATAATAGTAATAATAATAAATGATAAATCAGGAGCTGCGGCGAGATCTGGGCCTTTTCTTCATCCTGTATATTCCTTCTAGTATTCCTTGTATACGTGTTCCGTATATATCCCACTCTCCTGTTTCCACCATATTGTAAATAGGTTCACACAGCCCGTCTTGTGCGCATGCAATTCTTGAGACTCGAGAGCAGCAGCGTTATCACAGCCACGATCGGCCACAGAGCGAGCTTCTCCTTCCACTCAGTGCACCCTTGATCTGTCTACCTGGAGGAGGGAGAGAAGGCGAGGCGTAACTCACGATTGTCACTGTTGTCTCCAGTGCAGCTCGCCTTGCGGACGATCAGAGGAAGAGGAGAACGTCCTGAGAAGTCGAAGGAGGCGAAGGCCATGGCGCTATTCGTGTTGCGGACGGCAGCGCTCACTGCCTTGCTTCTACTCGCCGCTAGTGCACGTCCTGCACGTGCTTTAGGTCGCCAGCCCGAAGTGCCCATTACCTCGGTCACTTACGGCGGCACTGGTTGCAGCTGGGACAACACCAACTACGTTCTGTCCCCTGACTACAGAAGTGTCACGTTCATTTTCGGCGGCATGCTTGTGACCACCGACGGAAGCTTCGCCGACCGCAAGAAGTTCTGCCAGGTCTCGTTGGGGTTGGACTTTCCTGATGGCTGGTGCACCACGGTGCCCAAGGTGACGGGAAGGGGGTTCGCGGACGTGGAAAGAGGCTCCAAGATCATCTACGAGTTCGTCTACTACTTGTCCGGACAGCCGGGCACGGCCAAAGTCCAGCGCACCATCAAAGGCCCGGCCAAACGGATCGTCGAGTTCAGGGAACACTTCAGTCCGATCGTGCGGAGCCAGAGCAACGGCGCTGTCAATCTGAACGTCAAGATCTTGGCGACGGCGGAAGGCAGCAAGGCGACGAATATCGGCGACTCCGACGATGACAAGTTCCGCCTGGGGTTGAGCTTCAAATGGAAACGCTGCTGAGAGGGAGGTGCTGAGAGGACCCCATCACCTCTCACGTGGGTGGGGTCTGGCAGGAGTGTTGGAGGTTAACTTCGGAGAAAAGGGCAAGAGTGTGTGTGTGTGTGTGTGTGTGTGTGTCGTCGCGTAAGTATCGCCTCCTCATGTGAGGAGTCCAACGGTGACGATTGGACGTGAGGAGGAAGTAATTGATTGTTGGTGAAATCGTTGAAACGCAGGATTGTTAAGTACCTCTATAGGACGATCAGCATTTAGTTCTTCACTAGCGCGCTTCGTAATAGCTGTACGCTGCTGTTTTTTTTTTAATATTATGTTTAGCCGTTCTAATGGTCGGACATTTGCCGTGTACGAGGCCGTACATTTGCTGTTCTGCATTCCATTCTGCTCGGCAAGAATGGTCGGACGGATACCGTGATACGTGCAGTAGCTTCATTTTTTTGAGGACTTTCTTATTTTCTCTTCCTCGCAAATGTTTCTGTCATCCCGCCTGAGGCCGTAATACTATGCCCATCCGTGTGTTCTACGCTGGGTGTGAGCGTCGAGTTCAACAGCGTTTCAGACGGTGTTTTTGTTGCTCGACGTCATTCCGTTGAGACCCCAATGTCCCACTTGTCCTATTGAAGAGAAGCAAAACTTAAGGGATATTTGGTACGCACCGCAGGGAAGGACCTGACGACTTGAGGAGAAGAGAAATAAAAAGCTGCATCTCAGCAAGGGCATTCCGTCTGGGAGTGTGTTGTCCTGCCTAAAACAGCCTGAGAGATTGGCTATCCCTGTCTAGCAAAGGACAAAGCTGCTAAACACACACATAATCTCTCTCTCTCTCTCTCTC